ATGAACACGATGCCAATGGAGGAAGAGGAAAGCAGAGTTCAGCTAGCCCCTGCACAGGCCTGTGGCAAGTGGGATGTGGAGATGGAAGTAGCCAAGCAGATGGTATTGCATTTTGCTTCAGTTATATGCCACTTGTGAACCGTTTGTACCCAGAAAGGCAGATCAAGAACAAGAAAATAGGTACAAAATAAATACAGTCTAAATGTCCTGAGTTTGGACACATTTCCATGAAATGCATCTGACTAGGCCTTGCATCTCTCTGTGTCAATCAGAATTTCTCTTTGAATCCTTCATGTAGATTTCTTTGGTGCAGCTGTGTCTGGCTAGAGGATGTTTTAACCCTGTTTCTCATTCACACCTTTTGCAACCACACCCAATGCCCAATGCGTCTCTCAACATTGCAGATCAACACTGAGGAACTACCAGCACATCCTGGCCTTGGTGTTCGCCATCACTGAGATCAACAAGAATCTGACGCTCCTGCCCAACTCCACACTCGGCTTCGGCATCTATGACAACAAGGACCTTGCCAGATACATGCATCTGAACAGCCTCTCTCTGCTTTCCACAAGGGGGCACAGGGTTCCCAGTTACAAATGTGACAGGCTGGAAAAGCTCATCTCCGTTATTGGGAGCACTGATGCCAAATCCTCAATGGAGATCTCATCCTTAATGGACATGTATAAGATCCCACAGGTAAGGGGGTCCTCCGGAGCATTCTAAGGGGACCATTAGGCAGAGTTCAGCACCATTAAGACTCACCAAGGAGCCTTGGTTTGCCCACTTGTCTTAGGATCTTCACAGAAAATGTATGGAGAGTGGGCAGTTATGTGTGTCGGTTCATTTCCTATTTTGTGTGTACTGATGCATTTCCAGAATGAATATTGGGTTTGTGACCAAAGTTTTCTCTCTGGGGCAGGAAGCTGGGGCAAGAAAACCCACACATATTGTCATCTTTCTTGGATGTAGGATGAAGTGCCCATTCACTCTGAAGGCTGGAAAGGTGACCTCCTTTAGAACTGTACATTGGAGGCTGATGACCACACTGGGGATCTTCTCGAAGTTGACTCTGTAGTGACATGCCCATTTTTAAATAGGACCGCTTCCTTCACAATAGCACTGCATGCATCTGAAGCTGGCTGTTATAGACACTGGAAATGTCTGTCCCGAAATGGGTGCTAGTCCTCAAAAAGCCACAAAATTCAACTGCAAAAGGCTAACTGGCAATTCTGTTCTCCAGATTGGTTACGGCTTGTTTGACTGTGTGGAGGTAGAAAAAAGGACCTTTCCTTCTTTCCACCAGATTGATCCTGAAGAAACAGCTCAGTATGTGGGCTTGGTCCATCTCCTGCTGCATTTCCATTAGAATTGGGATGCTTTGCTTGCTCCTGGAGATGAGAGTGGTGAAATCTTCATCCAGACAATGACTCGAATGCTCAAGCAAAAGGACATCTGGGTGGCCTTCATTCAAATGCTAAATCGATTGGGCATGAAAGAGTTTGCTGGATTACCTCATGCTATTCTTCATTCTTGGTTGAACCCCGAAGTAATTCTTGTGTTTGGAGGGAAGAGTATTATGACAGTTTTAATGGCCTTATTCTTTTTCCATGAAGCAATGACTAAGGCTTCAATTAGGAAAGTTTGGCTCATGACATCACATTGGGAAATGGCTGCAAAGGGAGAATTCTGGAAGTTCCTGAAATGTTTCCATGGTGCTTTGCAGTTCAGAGTCCACAGAAATGAGGTGCCAGTTTGCCAGCACTTCCTCCAGGCATTACAACCACGCCAGCCTCATGGAGATGTCTTCCTCAGGGTTTGGTGGACCTTGGCATTTCATTGTGAACTCCTGAGATCCAGTGAAGCTGCTCAAACAAGCAAAAGAGAGTGCACTGGGAAGGAGAAGCTGTAGGACATTCAGGATGCCTACTTTGATATGAGCATGAGCAGTCACATCTACGGAATCTGTAACGGTGTTTGCTCTGTGGCCCAGGTGCTGCACACTGTGCTTGGATCCAGAACGGGAATGAGAGGGGAAGGCAATAGACTTCAGAGTCTCGAACCACAGCAGGTAAATTTGCCCATCACATTTGGCCATCTTATGCAAGGTCCCTTGGTGGTTCCTCAGTGGTGGGATTTGGGAAGCAAAGGATGAGTCAGGGAAAAGGGTATTATCCAAGGACAGCACCATGAAGACATGTGCTGGGAATATGTTCCCTTAGAAGACCTTGGAAAGTATGTGAAATATAGTAAAGAATTTGCTTTTCTGCACCAGCAATTTATTCTGTTCTCTGTATATATGTGGTTAGCTGCCTTGAGTTTCACTGAGTCTACGACCTTCTTTCTTTCTCTACACATGCACACTTATACATATTGAATGAAGAAGCAGAGCAAACTAATTTTTCCACTTGCATACTTCCACTCTACAGCAGTGCCACCTGGAGTTTACGCAGTGGAAAGGCAGGAGAGGAAACACACTCTTGTAGAGATTTGTTGAACCCAGACTAGTGATAACCTCCAGCAACTCTCCTTATGAACATGCCTGGGCCCCAACCCTTTGGGAGGGGCTGTCTGCAGGCAAGCACACCTCCTCTCTGTATACTGCTCATGAAGTTGGATCTCTCGTCTCTGCTGACACATCTCCACAGGGTTGAGCCCAGGAGAGGGTCTCATCTGTATCTGATCATTCCTCAACCCTGGTGGTTGCTCCTACTGGTTGTACTTCTTTGCCATTGCAAGGAACTCCCTGGCCCAACAAAGCCCTGAGCCTTGAGATCATCACCTCTTCCTCCTGCCACTACATCTCAGAGCCTTGAGCTAACCCATGCTCCCCAATCTCACTGAAACATTCCTCATTTTCCAATCCTGAATCAGAATCTGGAGTGCAGCCAATAAGCCATGGAAATGCCTGTCAAGCCCTCCTGGGTGTATTGAGTGTATTGTGGCAAGAAGTCCAAAATGCCCAGGCTACTGGGGAAAACATATGGAGAAAAGGAGCACTCATTGATAATGTAGGTTAACTATTGCAAGAAGCAATGGGAGGGGAAAAGAAGTCAACTTGATGGGAATCAGTTTGTAAGAAGACCCAAGAAATCTCCCTTTTCACCTGCTTTCCGTCATTGCAGATTCTTCGCTTCTTGCAGAATGTCCAGTTCAACAACAGTGCAGGGGAGGAAGTCTGTTCCCAAGCAAATGGCGAGAGATATGCCATCCTGAACTGGATCTACTTCCCAAATTGATTGTTTTACCCTGCGAAGGTTGGAAGGGTGGATTCAAGGGCTCTGCCAGGCCAAGGCTTCAGCATTCAGTCCGATGTGATAGTGTGGGCTACACAGGCGGGGCTGAAATGATTGTTTCAGGAAAGCAATGGGGCAGCTGCAATGACCCCCAGTTGCACCCACCAGTCTCCCCCTTCCCGTACTGCAATCCCATTGTTGTAGGAGTGGCAGTGGGGAGGAAGGAGGAAGAGGAAAGAGGAGGATGAGGGGACAGAAGTGGCAGTACAAATAATCTATGCAAGCAAATGTGCTGGATCCAGACTATGCCAACTGCATCAGGGCCTGGAACCCTCAGTTGCGGCTGCCCAGCACTGCAGACAAAAGGGAAATGAGTGGACCAAAGGTATGACTTTCTAGTTTTCCTTCAGTGAGTTAGATTCCTGCTGTTGCCACTGTTTTCTTTTGGAGCAAATGTGGTCACATTTAAAGATGGCAGAGCCCCAGTTATTTCAACTCGTGTAATTGCACCATTTTGCTATCCCACAGTGCCACCTAGAGGTTATGTGGAGGAAAATCAGGGGAAGAGAAGACACATGTGCATGACTCAAATCGCAATTCTAGGACAAATTTTAAAAAGAAAGGTATTTAAATGGGTTCGCACTTGCATATGATGGAATGATGCAGAAGGTAATTAGGAGGTTTAAGACAATATAAATAATAATACAAGGATCATTCTTAACTAACAAGGACACGCACAAGACATGTTTAGCAATCTTTCATAACCTGAACTTTCTATGGATTTTGGCTAAAGCTTCCCTAAACAGGAGACCTCCAAATGTTTTGGACTAGAGCTCTGAGAACTCTTGCCCATTGGTCACATTGGCTTAGACTAATGGCAGCACAAGTAAAAACCATCTGGACAACTCAAGAAACTGTGGTTGATATGGGCTTAGCCAATCCGTCTGGGCAGCAAGAGTTGGAGAAGTCTGAGCAGAGCTGAACTGAGCTAAGTCATTTTGGCATAAAGAATTTTCCCAGTTTATCAAGATAGCACCTTCTCATGTCCAATGTTCCCACCTTGCCAATACTGGTGTAGCTAGTATTTTCCATCATTCAGCAAAATATAATATTGTTTGTACCACTATCGAAAAGCCACACTGGTGGAAATTGCGGACAGAAATCATCCTGAAATTGGAGACTGAGACTCCTGAATGAGCTGTTTATTGTTCTGGGTTATAAGAAAGAACAGAAGTACAGCCCAAAATTCAATGAGACAAACAAACCAGAGCATATTCCCAAATCATAACCAGGAGCGAAGAGCAAACCATCAATATCCATAGGAAATTACGTCATTGGAGGAGAAAATGAGCAAATGGTTGTGCCTGGAGGAAAATGTATGTCTGACTGTCAGTTCCTTTAAACTCACTCAGCTTTAGAATATCCCCCAAAAGGCCATATGTGGCTGAGAGGAATCCATAACCACTAGAGGAAGAGTGTATACTGCAGCATTGAACACCATTTCCTGAAAATGGGTGAGCATGATATTTGCATAACTATTCAGCTGAAGAATGTTATGGTGAATTGACTCTCATTGAAATCCATTTTCATTTGAGTGGGAAACAGCAAATATTTGAGCAGTGGAGAAATAAATGTTCATTTCCATAAATAAACCTTTACAGAAAGGTCCTTAGTGTGTAGCAAAATATACAACACATTACGGTTTGAATCACTTTATTGGCCTTCTAAATCTGACTCTTTGTCAGTGAACTGGATTAGCATGCAAAGCTAGACATTCTTTTTCCTTACAAGTTGCTCCCTTGTATTTAGATAGGGTCTCAGCAAAATAATATAGCATTTGGGAAGAAAGATGAAAGCCAGAAGGCCAGCCCCAGAGGCCAAGATGGAGAAGACCTCCACGGCCACCATGGCCTTCCCCTTGGTGCTCAGGTAGGAGGGCACAAAGGAGACCCACACACTGCAGAAGACCAGCATGCTGAAGGTGATGAACTTGGCTTCATTGAAGCTGTCAGGCAGCTTCCTGGCCAGGAAAGCCACACTGAAGCTGAGGACAGCCAGGAACCCCATGTAAGCCAGGACAGCATAAAACATGGTGACAGAGCCTTCATTACATTCCACGATGATCTCTCCAGGGAGAGAATGAAAGTCCAGATTTGAGAAAGGGGGAAAGGTTAGCAACCAGACAACACAGATCACAGCTTGGATGAGGGAACACGTCAGCACAATGGAGGTTGTCAGTGATCTCCCCAAGAGCTTTCTGGCCATATTTCCTGGCTTGGTGGCCATGAAGGCCAGAACTACCACAACAGTTTTGGCCAAAATGCACGAAACAGCTACAGAGAAGGTGATGCCAAAAGCAGCTTGTCGCACAAGGCAGGTGATCTGCCCTGGTCGGCCAATGAACAAAAAGGCACAGAGAAAGCAGAGCAACAAGGAAGCAAGGAGCATGTAGGTGAGGTCTCGGTTGTTGGCTTTGACAATTGGTGTGTCACGATGCTTGATGAGTGTTGCCAGCACTAGATCTGTGATCAGGGAGAGGAAGAGAGACAGACAAACTAAAATCAAGCCGAGTATCTCATGAGAGGAAAGGAAGTGGATCTTCTTGGGGATACACCAATCTTGGTTCCTGTGTGGTTGTTGATCTGGTGGGCATGGAGCACAATGGGATGCATCTGCAATCATCAGCAAATGTTCAAATGATTTTAAAGGTAATAAAAGCAGCCATCCTGTAATTTCTTTTACACCCCATTTTGTTTTCTGTGTCTTTCAGCAAAAGTACCACCTGGGTCACTGAAAGTCCAATATTTATTTGATTTTTGGTCTTCATATCACAGGACCCTGTACCAGCCTCACAGTCAGTATTTTGTCAGAAAGAAAATTCAGGGACTAGAAATGAACACCAGGAAGTGTACGATGGACAACATGATCTGTCACTGCAGTGGCTTGTGCAGTTGATGCTCTGGTGAGGAGACTCTAAAGGGTTCTAGAAATTTCTAAATGGCCAATGTGTTTGATACTGATGTAACATCGCTTGGCTGCTAGAAAGATGACTGAACACTTGCCCTGTTTGATTGGTGAAGACTAAACAGCCAAGTACGGAGACATGGTCGTGAAATAATTCTACACAGAGGGCTTAGGAAATGTACATATGAAAGAAAACTAGGCATATCCTTCACCTGCAAGCTCTAGTACAATACTACATGTGGGATTATAGTGTTATGATATTATATATTAAATTATGTATTGAATGATACATTATTGTGCTACAACGGTGATAGTGGAAAACAGTATTATATAAGCTTCGAAACAACTTTGTTCAGTAAATTGTGAGTATTTTGCAAGCCATCAAAGTGCAGCGATATGCAATTGAAATGGCATGTGTAAAGAAAATAGATGTTGGTGAACTTTTCTCCACACCTAGGATATGCCACTTCCCCCTTCCTGCTTCTCCAAGTACATTCGACACTTTATGGTTCCAAAACTCTCAACTACCTGTCCAGTTGGAAATGGTCCCTTCTGGGCAATGGTCACATCTGTAGCAGCAAACCGGCTTGCCCTCTGGAACTGTTCTCCGGTGCCCTGGAGAGCACCTCTCCACACACCTGGCAAAGGGCATCTTCTAAAGAGGAAAAGGCATACAAGTGAGGGCATTCAGTGACCACAACTGTACTGAATAGTTTCATCAGTGGAGTTCCTCTCTTCATGATTCATGATGATCACATATTTGACATCTTCTGGATTTCTGGAACCCTCAGGCTCATGTAGGAGACAAACATTGTAAAGTAAGAAATGCCTTTGTCCTGATGTCGTTCAAGGGTTGCCACATCCTTCAGATTCCTTTCCATCACATCCTGAAGAGACTTAACTAACTCTGTACTGAGAATGGATCAGGAGCTAAGTTTCCCCCTCCTCTCTTTCAGAACAAGAGACCGGTCTTAACAAAAGCTCTTTATTCTCCAAGGTACATCCAGTAAATGATAACCAGTGAATAAAGCATATCTCAGCATGCACAGAGAGGTTCATCAAACACAAACTAGAAACTACTTCCAAGAGCGTTCCTTTTAACTAACTCTGGACTCCACGTAGCTGAAATGGGGTGGGCCAGCCCTTCTCTCCCAGCACCACATCATAGGGTCAAGGATGATGCCAGGCTCCTCAGTCTCCTGCCCAATGTCCCCTCCCAGTCCTCACAGACTCTGCCTCTTCCTCAATAGCTGAAGGTGGGGGCCTTGAGATGAGCTCTTCTGCCTCTTGCATCTCAATTTCTTGTGGACAACTGGCTAAGCATGAACCAACAATGCGATGCAGCTGCCAAAAGAGCAAATGCTATTTTGGGATGCATTAACAGAAGTATCACTTACAAATCATGAGAAGCAGTAGTTCCTCTATACTCCTCGCTAGTCAGATCTCACCTGAAATACTGTGTCCAGTTCTGGGCACCAAGATTTATGAAAGATGCATATGAATTAGAAACGGTCCCGAGGAGGGCCACAAAAATGATCAGGGTTTGGAAACACTGCCCTATGAGGGGAGATTGAGGGAAATGGGCATGTTCAGCCTTGAGGACAGAAGCATGAGGGGAGACATGATATTCCTCTATAAGTACCTCAAAAGCTGCCACAAAGAGGAAGGACAAGATCTCTTCTTGCCCATGCCAGAATGTAGGTCACGAAATAAGGTGTGACAACCCAGATTTTGGCTGGATATCAGGAAAAGCTTCCTCACTGTCAGAGCAATATGACACTGGAACCAGCTGCCAGAGAGGTGGTGGGCTCTCCCACACAAGAGATATTCAAAAAGTAACTTGGACAGCCATCTGAGTGGGATGGTGTAACGTGTTGTCCTGCAACAGCAGGGGGTTGGACTCATTGGCTTTCATGCCCCATTCCAACTCTGCTATTCTACGATTCTATGATCTGGAGGCTCCTTTTCCCCAGCCTCATCTTCCCACCTGAAGAGCCTAGTTCATCTTGTTCTGGAAACACATGCCAGGAACAATTCTCCCTTTCCTCCCCACTTTCAAGCAACCAAGTCCTCCAATGGTATCTGAATTGGGCACCCTCTTTCTGCCACATAGCCTACAGTCAGGCAGCTTTGTGTCCTTTCTCCTGGCTGCCCACTCCTCTCCAGGGATCTTTTTTCAGAGCTATCTGGGAATGTTGGCAATACGTTCTGGGACATTTGCTTGCAAGCACGGTGCTTTGGTTCTGGGCAAGGAGCCCTTCCTGCCATCCGTAGGCCTGTGGCCCTTTCTAGGAAGCCAACTTCAGACCTAAAGGGACAGAAGAAAACATTATTTAGTGTTCCCATTCCATGCATTTTTATTCCCACCTTTGTAGCCCATGTGATTGCATTGGCCTGAATGGTGAAGTCCTGGCCTGGAGGAGCCATTAAATCCACTCCTCCAACTTTCACAGGATGAAAAGATCCATTAGGGGAGGTGATCCAGTTGAGGATGTCGTATCTCTTCCCATAATCAGTGAAAGAAACTTCATCTCCAGCACTGTTGTTAAAACGAATTTTCCTCAAAGCGGCCAGAATCTGAAAGGGAAAACAGACTTTGGAAGGGGGCTAAATGCTTTTCTTCTGGTACTTTGATTGCATGAAATAGCCAATAAAGGAACACATTGAAACTTTTGGATTTGAAATAAGATTGAAAGGTTGATGGTATAACAGAGCAAAGACTATAACTTGGTCTAATTTGATCCGGTTGGAATGCTAGACTAAAGAATGGACAAGACAAAAAGGCATGTGTAGGGAGTATACAAAATTTGAAGATATGATTATAGAAAAGGAAAATCAGGAGAATAGGCAGATGAAAGAGATAGTAAGTAAAAATTATAAGATATTATTAGAACAGGATCAAAACAATTCACCATGGAAAGGAATTGAGAACAATATAAGTTAGGGAGATTGGGAAACCAATCAAAGAGGATATTAATATTATTGATTATTAAAATACTGATAATGATGATGATGATAGGACAAAGAGGATATTAAAATGAACGTCAGTAAGAATAAAGGAAAATTTCTGCAAAGTTGAATGGAAGTAGATTTAACCCCATTGAATTTGAATTGTACAGCTAACAATTGCTCTTCTTTATGTGGTCATGAAGAAGGTATTTTCATCTGTGGTGGGAAGTTGAATATGTAATGAAAGTCAGGAAATAGTTTTTTAAAGACCGTAGAAAAAGGTTAAGTTTAAATATTGGCATATGTCCTGAGATTACATTACTTTCAAAGTCTGATAAAAACAATGGATTTGGAATAAAAAAGAATTTAAAAAAGATTTAATAATTAATTATAGCTATGAACAGGAAGACAAAATATGATTTCCAAGTTTCTGATCAGTACAGAGAAATCTGGAACATAGCTATTATTGACACATTAACATTTGATATTAAATGAGAAAAGGGCACATAGAAGACATTGTCTATGTTTTAAAGACAGGGAAAGGATCTGAGCCATTAAAAGAATCATTAAAAGAATCATCATTACAAAAGAATCATTAAGGAAATTTGAAATTCCTGAAGTATTTCTAGTTTAGTTTTATTTTGCTTTTTTCTTTTCTTTTACCTGTGACATATATCTTTAGTCTGGATGATGGAGAGCAGAGTGATGCAGAAATTATTTTTCCTGTATAGTAATAATTATGTTTGCATTTTAAATGTAATGGGTGTCTTTGTATTTTTAAATGAAATAATTTTAAACACCTACATGTTTGGGGCATGTAGTTTGGGCCAAGTTGCCTGATGCCTTCCCAGTCAATCTCCACTGTAGTAAATGCAGCATTTGTACCAGACATAGTCATACATATCTACTACATTTTGCTCATGTCTTCATCTTCCTGAACAAAAGTGATTGACATGAAAGGATATCCATGGAGATCAGCTTAGGATCTTCAGTATGGACAATTAGTCTTTTTCAGGGTTCACTCTCAGCTTCTAGTATTGGACCATTTATAAATCATGAACACGGCTTTGAAAAGGTGCAAGTATGATGAAGGATTTTACCTGCCATGGCTCAATATTCAGACGCCTCCAGCTTCCCCATCCCATTCCATGTTTGGACCCTGATCTCGCATGCAACATGTGTGCCAGTGAGTAAACAGCATTGTAGATGTTGTAGCTGTGGTGGTTCATGCTCATTTGAAAGTAGGTGGGTGGCAGATCTTCTAGGTTCTCTCTCCCAGTACAGAGTTTGTTTCCATACTGGAAGGGTTTGCCTGAGTTTGAAAATCTGCACGAGAAAGCCCGCTCCCACCAGTACTGGAGGAATACATCTCCTTGAGGTTGGAGTGGATCTAAACCCTGGAGAAAATGCTTGAACTCTGGAATGTCACCACTTTGGATTCTGAAGTGCAAAGCACCATGCATCATTTTTTTTAACTGTGCATCCATAGAAGATCCTACTCCAGATCCTATTGCAGCAGCTTCCCAAATAGATGTCATGACCCAAACATTCTTAAAACGGCACTTTGTCTTGTCTTCGTAATTCCACAACATTGCTGTTATTCGGCCCATAACACTCAGGTCTGCAAACACAATGATCACTTGTGGCTCAAACCAAGGAATGGGAACAGAGCCAGTTTCTGCTCGAAGCTGATTAATTGGCGTCATTGGGTCAAACTTTTCAGTGAAGGCCACACAGATGTCCTTCTGCCTGAGCATGGGTGCCAGAGTTTGGATGAAGGTTTCCCCCATGTCATCGTTGTGAGCAATCAGCCCGATCCAGTTCCAGTGGAAGTGCAGGAGCAGCTGGACCAAGCCCACATACTGATGCCTGTCACTGGGATCAATCCGGATGAAGGAAGGGAAGACATTTCCACCTCCTGGAACCATGTGGAACACGCCATAGCCAAGCTGGAGGAAAGAGTTTCCAGTCGGTAAGCTCCAGGAATCCTGTCCTTCTTTTAAAAGATTGCATTTGTATGTCATCAGCTATCATGGAACCACAACTTAAGAATTAAGATGGGCTTTTAAGGAATGAGAATGCTCATTTACAGTTAAATGCTGCAATGCCTTTAAGAAAGTTCCACAAGAAGTTGAGTGCAGCTATGGTGGGAGCCTGGACATAGTTTCTGAACATTGCAATGAATATGTTCTTATATCCATTTTCATGAAATGTGATGATTTGAGCTCTCCAATCCCAAATAGATAATTTTGTCAGACATAGCCTCCCCCCCTAGTGTGGGTATACATTAGGACACACAAAATGAAACATTTAGTAGGGCTTAATAGAAACACATGAAGTCCGGCCACACTCCAAAACTGAAAGCGCTCTCCCAAATATACATTGGTCCTTTACCTATGGCTTATGACTGGAGCATAGGCCATGTGTGTAAGGAAGAGCCCTTCTGCTTCAAATCAATAGTCCATCTATTCCAGGACTCTGATCACACAGTGGCCAACCAGCCATGGAAACTCCCAGGAGAGACATGAATGCAACAGCACCCATTGGGTGAAATCCTGCACTCAGTGGTATGTACAGGCATACTGCATCCAGCACAACTGCATGTGGTTAACAGAAAGAATAGCCATTGGAACACAAGACAAGCTCTGCTGGATCAGGCCAATGGTCTAGAGAGGCCAGCACTCCATTCACACAACAGCAAACCAGCTCTGCGCTGGATCCCTCAAGCAGGATGGTTAAAAGGATCCCATCTGTCCCAGTTCCTCAGCTATGGGTTCGTGCAGACTACTGCCTCTGGTGATGGAGGTGGCTCACAGCCAGCAAGGCTAGTCGCCACACTAGTCTCCTTCTCACGAAGGGTTCTCCAATTTGGTGGCCATCACTAATTCCTTTTCTTTGTCCTAACCCTCCAACTGTTCAGCTTCGTGGCATGGCCCCAACTTGGAGAGTTATGAGAGAGGGGGGAAACTCTCACCCCCTCTATTCGCACATAGATAATGCTTCCAAAAGCCTCTCATGCCTCATTTTTCCCTAAGCTAAACAGTCCCACCCTTGCATCCACTTCTCATAGAGTCATTGCCCTTGAATGCTCTCTACATATTTAACTCCAACAGATGATTGCTTGCTTAGGAAGACCTTCCTGCACTTACCAATGTTCATTGCTTGCAGCAAGGAAATGCCATGGTCTTGAATACATTGCTCCACCCTGTGACTTTAAGGTGTCAAAAGACTTCCTCTTAGTCCTCACAATACAACCACTTTTCTTACACAAAGGACCCATTGCTGAATTACATGAGAGATGAGGCAGCCACCTGAACTTCCTGTCTCCTAGCAAAGTCATCCAATGGCAGGTTAACCAAAGTTCAAAGATTCCCCACTCCTGTCACCCAGGATTGAGGCAACACACACACTGCAAGGGGGGAAAAAACCCTTTTTCAGAGATAGATCTGTCCATCCAAGTATTCAAGATCCCTGCAGAGCTGCACAGCTTTCCACAGAGGAATCCCCTTACCTGTGGCACCTTGTAGATGCCTAGTAAGGATGCAATCTCCCTTGAGGAATGGGAGTCAAGGCCCCCAATAACAGAGAACAGTCCAACTTTCCTGTCGCATTTATAATTTGGAACTATTCTCCCCCGAGTGCAAAGCAGAGCAAGGCTGTTCTGATGCATCTTTGCCACAATGTCCTTGTGCTGGCGGATGCGGAAGCCTAGTGTTGTGTTCGGAAGGAGAGTTGGATTCTTGTTAAGCTCAGTGATGGCGAACGCAAAGGCCAAGAAGTGCTGGTAGTTCTTAATTACTGACCTGAAAGGGCAAGAAGGACATCCAGAGGTGAGTGAGAACACCATCGCAATTGATGGGAAGTGGAGCGCTGCATTGAAGAATTTGTTTCTCTTCTTCCACAAAGCATGTGCAGGGGAGAAATTGAAGGTGTAGGAGTGCTCCTCAAAAGCAGGAGACACCCCCTGGCAGTGCCATCCCCTTGCTTGTAGAGCATGCTTTGGTAATAAGAAAGAAATGGAACTCTATTAAGTTATTGTGGAAAGAAGACTACAGGAATCACAGATGCACTGAGGAATAACACCTATCTCATCTGATTGCTCACATGTTCATTTACGACAGACACAGACTGCATCTTGGGTCAAAACACAATGTGAGCTATAAGAGACACAGACTATGGCATCACAGGTATGTGTGACTGACTGCATCCCGAGTCTTCCCGAAGAGAGCTACGGAGAGCATTTTCAGCACAAATAGATGGTGACCTTCCCCATGAGGCCTAGTTAATTAGAAAATGTTCAAAGCCTCTACACCTTCTGCTCCTACAAGGGACATTTTGTCACCGTCCCAGATGATTGACATGAAACCAAAGGATTGGCTGTCTCTACTCCTTGCACAAAGCCCCCCACAATGAATCTAGAGAACATGCACCAGTCTCTATCGTCATGCGTTATAGCTAAAAACTGCACCTTCTTTGCGGCTCTCCTACTGAATCTGGACCTAAAGTCAGCAGCTTCCCTGGCGCGTCGTCCTGGAAGACGCGCCCGAATATGAAAGCAAACCTGGTGAGCAGCTTTCCCAGACCCCTCTGGTGGAAACGTACAAAAGAACAGTGGCGATCCTCCCCGGAGTTGAATGCTGAAAGCCTTGTATCTCTGTATAATAGTAACTGCCAAGAGGCAAATTCCCACCGATAATGACGTCTCCCTGCCTGTAATACTCCTGTGATTCAAAACTGCTGCTCAAGGAGCACCTGGTCCTCAGCACCCTTTGGGTAGCCTGAGGCAGGATCCAAAGGACCAGCAGCAGGAGCAGTGGCCAGTGCATCATCAGCAGAGAAAGATATTCGCAGGCCCTAGCAGGGGAACAAGACCCTGGCCAGGAATAACCAGTGTCAGGTGACCAGAAACCATCCCAGCCCCATGGAGAACCTGAGGGCCTATTTCACTTAGCACAGGTTTTTGTGTTCCTGGCTCACTGGATGGAAATCCCAGGAGATCCCTCCAAATTTACTGTCATTCTGATAATTTCAGGCTAGAGAAAGCACCAGAGCCCTCAATCACTGGGCCTTTGCACCATGGGAGGAGAATAAGAGTGTGCATCACCCTTTGCTTCTCCCTGGTCCACTGGGACAGAACAGTTGTCAGTCGCTGCAAACAGTTACCAGCACTGGCCTAACTTGTTCTGATGTGAGCTGAGCTGCTACACATCATCCACTCTAAAGGTGGCCCACATTGCATTTTGAGTTCACATGGCCTGAAAAGTCATGGTAGCTCCTTGAGAAGGATGGTCTGCCATGGGTGCTGACCCCTGCTGTGGCTCTTCAGTATGACAGTTTGGGTTTTAGAAACCACCGTGAAAAACAATGGTCCGTTCTCCATTTTCCTTGCTTCACCATTTTTCTCTGGTCATTCGAACCTGGTATTGTGGTTTCCAAGGAGTCTCCTTGAAGATCCATGGATGGAGAAGATGCTGCTGGTGGTGCTGCAAAAGTTGATGATGGGAAATGTGCCAACAGTGGGAGGACTGCAAGAAGAGGGTAGAGACCAGCGTACCTTCCTCAGAAAACACTGCATCATCCAGCAGTCAATCCAGGCCAAAAAACACGGCACATTAAATTTCATCTGGTCCATTGGACAGGATGCCCAGGGACAAATTTCTGTCTCCTTTTTGGACTGTACTGGAAGGTTTCCCTGATGAATTTTAGATAAGGTGACCGCTGGCTGATGCAAACATATTTTTCTTCTGTACAATATCCCTCTTCATGCTAGACTCCATAACAACAAGAGCAGCTGATCTGAGCTATAATGTGATCAAAATAAAAGAGAACTTAATATTAAAAAAATGTATGAAGCTGGCTTTTCATGATTTGTGCCATATATCTAGAAATACTTTTTAGGTGTTTATCTTGTAATGACCATCAGCCACGCACAATAAGATGATGCTAAATATCAACTGGAATTCAAGAGCTACCTGAATACATTCAGAGAAAGAAAAAGGAACATTGGAAGATGCCTTCTACCAAGTCACACACTTTCTTACATTTGTTCTTGCACTTCTATTCATATTTTGTATATAATATTACTATTACATTTATTATGTACTTAGAAACATGGAAACAGAGAGAGTCAGAAGGGGCCTACCTGGCCATCTAGTCTGACCGCCAGCTCCAGCTGGCTACACTCATGGCATGCCTACCATATGCATGTCTACCCTATCCTTGAACACCCTCACTGATGGGGCTTCAACTGCCTCCCATGGAAGCACATTCCGTACCCTTGGGCTCCTAACTGTCAGAAAGTACTTCCTGGCATCTAAATTGGACCTTGGTTCCTTGAGCTTGGCTCCATTGGAGTGCATCCTGCCCTCTTCTGCAGGGGGGAACAGGTCTCTACTCACCTCTGTGTTTACATCCCCTCACGTACATGTATATCACCAACAGATTGCCTCTGAGTCTCCTTTTCTACAGGCTGAAAGGACCCAGTTTCTTCAGTCTTGCCTAATACGGCTTTCCCTGCAATCCGTTCACCATCCTTATGGCCCTACACTGCACTGATTCCAACCTGGCTATAATCTTCCCGTACTGTGGATACCAGAATTGATCTCAATACTCCCATTGCAGGTGCACCAGAGTGTCATAGAGTGGCAGTAATATCTCTCTCGATCTGGAAGCCATGCTTCTGGCTATGCAACCAAGGGTGGCAAATGCCCTGAGACCACCCTGTCACACTGCTGACGCATGAACCCTTTCACTTATTACACTTTGTTTGTTTGTTTATTACACCCTTGGTATGCATAGCCTATGAATGCCCAGATGCATGTCCCATGAGATAAACACTGGCATTGATCTGGTACTAGTCAAATTTATAGGAGTAATCAACCACCCTCAGCAAAGCAGGGGTTTGGATACCCTGCTGAGCCTCCCTGCAGTGGCTTAGCATGTCATACAGTGCAGCCACTGTAGCCCTTGGGTAGCCCTTGTTCTTCCTCCAGGTATCAGCTGGAAGGGGGAACAACCTTCCTATGTGTTCTGTCCAGGAAGTGCCAATACAGAGATGTGGGGTCAGATGTGATTTGGATCCTCCCCTGCCAAAAGAGGATCACTTTTCGTGGCTGACCATATGAGTCAGTGAACAGCAGTGTCTCTCTTTGCATTGCTTCACCCGATCACATTTTTTCTGTTTCTAGAAATGCCTCTGTCCCTCAGCTGTATGCAACCAAACCATTGAAAACAGTGCAGTTATGTAACTACTCCTAGAACCAGGCTCAGAAGCCAGTCGATCTGGCCATACCAGCCAAGTAGTCACACGGCTTCTGAGCCTCACAGTGGCACCTAGCAAGCCCAGCTATCAGGATGACCCTGATTTCTTGCCAGGATTCAGCGTCTTGGGCTTTCTCCTGCAATTTAGTAGACATGCACAATACAATGCAGAAGTTG